ATAGGTCTTTCGTGAGCAAACATCGTGATATTCAACTTACAGGCATGTGCAGGTCTAATCAGTTGACGGTGGGACAACTGCTTCCATTTTTCCCAATTTTCCTCATATGCTACCTGCCCGGATGGTCTCAGGATCATCAATGTTTTTCGAAAGGGTGCTTCTTCTGCATGAACATGTGCTGGCGGTGGTATGGTTCGGTCCGTACCGCGACATGAGATGACACTAATAATAATTTTGTCATTGAACATTTGCTTCAACGGTTGAAGAACATCATCATCAGTGATCTCAACTTTGCCAACTCGAGGAGTCTGTTTGCTGATTCTATTCAGTATTTCTTGACAGTCTTCCAAACATAGACCTACATGTTGCTTACCCTCAAGTCGACGGCGCTTCGTTACCTGCTCAGCTCGGCTTGCTGGTTGGATCAGCTCTGACTTCGGGAAGTTATTCCGCCCCTTCTGCGCGGCGGCATGGGGACTACTTCGGGCAACCAAAACTGACTCGGCAACATCGCAGCATGTCAAGGCGATCATGCCATGACTCCAGCGAAAAGGCCACTCTCGGGAATTGGCAGTGATTATTTTGGCAATCAAACGTGCAAACTTTCTTGGATAAACTTCGGTGTATGTAGATCTTCGCATGCGATGGTCATTGACTTTGAGACTACCCTCAATTGGCTGGTGTTCATGATTTTGGCGGCATTTTCGGCCATGCAATGCTTGATACAGAGTCGGGCTGGTGGTCAGTATAGTCATTCCCTTTTTGATGGGCTTTCCGTTGCTGGGATCTACCAAGGCACCAACTTCACACAGGTCGAATTGGCAGGCTTGCGTACACTGGTGGATCTCTGAAATCCCAGGTTGAGAAAACATCAATGATTTGGATGGTTGTTCCCAATGGAAATGGCGACCATGTTGAATCTGAAAACGATATAGTACTAATCCCAAAGCAACTTGATACAGCATGTCCATGCGCTTCTCAAGATATTCTTGTTGACTTTGGCTACTTCGGGATTCATTGAATCGTGACCATGATGACCAGGGTCCACAAACAGGGGAAAACCATACATTCTTTGGTTGGTGAACAATCATCTTTTGAAACAACTTGGCTCTGCCCTCAACTGTCGAGAGATCGCCCTGCTCGATGCCATGGCGGAATGCAGACTGGCCTTGTTGCAATACCTGATGTGTCAGGGGTGATTGATTACTGCAAAAAACTTCAGCTAAGGAAAATGGACGGCCCACTTGTCGGTGGTGTTTCACAGCAAGTTCCAGCTCCTTTTGAATCAACTCAACTCGTTTCCACAAATGCTGGATTTCAGGATGAACCTGTGACCCTGGTTCTGACACATCATCGCAACTGACTAGTCCGTGTTCGAATCCTCCTGGCATTCGGGATTCGTGGCCACAACCTGACCTTCGAGATGCTGAATCACTCGGCCCAATGCATTCTCCATGTGAAGAAGTCTGGTCTGCATGGCTAGGAAGTTGGGATCCTGTGTCAGTGGGGGGCTTGCCATATACCCAGGCTGGTATGTCTGAGAACTCAACTCCCAATCGGCTTCTTCCATGTCGGGCAAATGAGTGATGTCGGCTGGGCACATCTGGGATCGGTTGAGAGCCATTGGCTTGGCCTTGGCTTTCATGACAGGTCGTGGAACCACTGGCCTTTGGTTCAGTGAATTCACCTCGCTCAGATTGTCGGGCATCATCTTGATTGGTGCACCGCTCATCTCGTGTTTCTCGATCATCAGTTCGATGTACCGAATGACCAACCGATGGGACATGCAGCGGCTTTGGGCATAGTGAGTTGCGATGAAACTCACCCACGATTGGTCCTTCCATGCAACTTCGAACTTCTCTCCGCGGTGTTTGTTGCCGAAATCCACCTTCTGGTGATGAAGGTCCTCCAGTCGGTAATGGGACAGGTCCGGCAACTCTGCATCTTCCACTGGCTGCTGCAGCTGCTTCAGGCGCTGGTTCAGCGACATGGGTTGATGCAGCGATCTCTGAACCGAACGATACTGACTTGGTCGCAACTTGATCACTGGTGGCCGCTTCTGCTGTCTTGATAGTTTCAACTGGCTCACACTCTGGGTTTCCTGCTGGAGTTTGTGATTCCAAATTGCTTGAGGCATTTGCATCTGACGGTTTGGCATGAAAACTGGTTAAATCATTTGGCTGTGGTTGCTGACATGTGAGGGTATCGGCTTTCTGATCAGAAACACCTGGCTGATTCTGCATGACTGGCTGGTCTTTATTCTCCACGGTGGCAAAAGTCTCGGTCTTCCTGGCAGAATTCAGAACAGGTTGTCCCGACATTTGTCTGGCAGCCAACGCGACAGCATTAATGTCAATGAGAAACAGACCACGGGGCGTGAGTTCAAGTGGAATGTCGTGCTTAAACATGTGACTGCTGACGGTCTTGGCTTGGCAGTTGATGATGGCTCGGAGAGCTCGCATGAGAGTTACAGAAACCAAAAAGGGTGTCCCACCTGGTACCACGGCTACTTTCAGTTTTAATGGTCCAATTGGTATCACCAGTGCATGTTCACTTTGGAGGGTTCTCTCATTCCCAAACTTAAAGGTTACCTGGCATTTTACTCTGGTTACCTGTTTCTTGACTTCATCACTGAGTCCATCAATCAACTCTGCGACATGGTTGGATCCTATCACGGTCTTCGACGCACCCAAATCAAGCACCCCCCAGGTTCCATGAGTTGCAAACAAAATGCACTGAGAGTCATCGGAGTGATTGACATGTGTCGGACCAGGATCCTTGGCATTGGATGTTCTTTTGACATCGGTCGCAAAATGCGATCTGGCATGTTGTGTCGCAAAATGCGACTTCAGGCACTTTGGTTCAGGGCGGCTGTCCTGGTGACAGCTCTTGGCATGTTCACTTTTGGCTCCATCACTCCTGAGGTGTTGACGGAGGCGGTCATGTGCACAACCATGTTCTATCCCACTATACATAGACCTATGGCATTCAACAGATTTACCCAAAATCCTCCCTACATACCGGTGTCTATGATTACCCTGGGTTACACAGCTGGCAAAACATGGGCTTGGTTTGGTCGGGTTCTCCTGATCGGCATCGAGAGTCTCAGCAAACTCTTCAGGTAGGCTTAGAAATTCCAGTGGCAGGCTATCCATGGTGGCATCATGTGAAATCACTGTCGTGGTGGGTGCCATGCTTCCACCGGTTGTGGAAGACGTCGCACTTGACTGGCTTTGACCCCTCTGCGGGCACTCAGCTTTCCAGTGACCACGCTGTCCGCATAGACGGCATGTGCTCTGCATGATGCGTTCTTGAAGGGTCTTCTTGGGACGGCTGTTCCAGTTCGAAAGACCCTTGCCTTTGTTGAATCCTTTTCCACTTGAAAACTTCCCTTTGGCACCTCCTGGAAATGGCTTGCTTGGGAAGAAACCACGGTTGCGAAATCTCTCGGACAGTCGATGACGAGCCTGCTGGTATGATGTCAGGGCTATGGCAAGACTCTGATCTTCCTGAATCGTGTCTTGGGCTGCCAACTCAAAATCTCCGACCAGAAGTGCGTCAGAGTCATCCTGTTCCATCAGTTGTTCGATGAATTCTTCCTCAGTAAGTTCATCCTGAGCATTGCAAATTGGCTCGATCTCATCGGTGTCACCTGCCGTTTCAGTGTGCAAGGCGGTTTGATCATAGATCTTCGTGCGATTGACCTTCTTCTGATTGGTCATGTCCATGAAAAAAACCAGCACCCAAAGTCCTGATTGCATGTGTCACACGTTTCACAGTGAGTTTACCATCAACTTCTGAATCCAAGATCACCTTCTTCTTTTCATCGCTAGTCAACAGTGAACCTCTCAACATGATGTATGCCTGCAAATCTTCCAGACTCATTTTTCGCGCTAGCAGTCGGGACCACATCACGTCTGACCTGGCCAAATAGGAGTCATTGGTTTCATCAGTCTTTTGTGACGTCTCGAACAAGGCCTTCTCCGCATCTTGGTATTGTTGCTCCAGTGGAATCTTGCCCCATTGGCCTCCTAGTAACTCCACCACACGGTGAACTGACTTCTCCGTACCATCCAGTAGCTCACCTTGATGAAGCTGTAGTTTGGCAAAGGCTGATCCTTTGCATCCTAAGATCAGTCTGGTGACAAGTTCTGTCACACGGCCTTTCGGCCAGGCTGCATAGACAAGCTCCACCTTCTGTTGATATACCAAAAGGTCATCAACTCCTGGGTCAAACGTCGGTACCAAGGACGACAGCTGGTTGCTCACGCCATTGGTCGATTGGGCTTCACTCGATTCAGCTGCTGTTGTAGGCATTTCTCCTGGATGCTCCAAACTGGAGCTCCGCTACCAGTATGAATGGCAGCAACCAGTATCTCAAGCAACAACTGTTGATGATGAAGTCCTTGAATTAATTGCACCAAAACTGTAATGGGTTACCAACCTCCGGAAAAATTGGTGGCACCCAATTCCCTGTCCACAGGTGCTCGCTCTCTTTCTGTTTTCACCCAAGCTGACCACAGCGTTCCAAAGGTTCGAACTGCCACGTCCACAAGCTAAGAAAAACACGGGTGACGCCTGTCACAACCTATGGCTCCAAGGCTAATTAGCCCTCCCGCCCAGCATCCAAACTCTCCTGAGCCAGTGCCTATCGGAAGGCAGGTTTGACCAATCGAAGACAAGCGACCTGAGGTAGCTTAAATGGGAGAATCACAACGCACATATATATATATACATACACATTCATATGTACATACAGATATACATACATATATACATAAATATATACATACATATATACATACACATATATATATACAGACATACATACAGACATACATATATATATACACACATATATATATATGTATATGTAAATACTATTACATGAATACACACCTGATTCACACATTTCCGTATGAATATGACATCGAAGGATCCCTGGTTCCAGACAAATTTGACTTATATGCCACACGTCAATTGAATCTGCAATGTGGCAGGTCGATCTTTACGTCTCAGGCCGCTTTGCTGCATCGTCAAGTGACTTCTTGAGTTTCGTTTGGGTTTCTGTCAAATCATTCTCTGACTAGTTTCTGGTTACCCGAATCCATCGAAATCCATCGAAATCCATCGAAATTTGTGCAGTTCCTGCTGCCCTGGCAGGCGAGGGTGTTTTCTTTTGCGCTGGCCACCAGGCTGGGTGTCTCACATGGTGCTACATCCGGGCGAAGCCATGAGATCAAGTAGTGTAAACGCATCTCTGCCGAGTCTCTACAGATGCATAGATGAAACTGTTTTGTTTGGTTTGACGTGGTTGATGCAAGCGGGTGGTCAGTGGTTCGTGTATGCTGTGCTTCTTCACCGTTCTACCTTCTCTGTGTAAGCACATTTGCAAATGACTTTCAAATCATCTGACTTTGTAAGCCTGGCTTGGGCTTTCATTGACCAGTAGAGACTTGTTTCCACACAAAACCCCGCACCACTGGAACCCAAAGGGTAGGATGTATTTGGGATGTATTTGGGATGTATTTGCATCGTTTGTGAATTGGTACGGCAGATGCGCTGAGCTGAGCAAATCTGAAGGCCACGTGCGCTGAGCGCCACCATCCAGCCTTGGCGGATCGGAACTCACCCCAGCTGCTCTCGCAGGCGTGACTCGGTCAGGTTCATGTTCCCATCAGAAACCAATTTTCCGGAAAAAAAGGTAAGATATTTTGAACATATTTTGAACATATTTTGAAAATATTGCAAAGATTGGAAGTATTCTGGAAGTATGTGGCCTTAGACGCACAAAGAAACATTGAAGCTGGTGTTTGATGCGAACCTAACAACTGTGCAGGCCTACGCCCAAAGCTTGTTGGAAGGGATTCCACCAGAGGATCCTTATGACATGCCTTTGGTCTTGTCTGGTCCTTGACTGACTGATGTTGATGATGTTGACCATGTTTATGGCATGTCTCTCGGGCACTTTGTTCAAATATTTGCAGGTGGTTCTTTGTTTCCTGTTTCTTCCTATGTTTTTCCTACAACATTTTCCATGTGCTTTGGTTTGCTGTGTCTGTTTCAGTTTCGAGGATGCCTCACATAACTCTCACAGCCCCTACAGATCCTCCCACTACATTCCCTTTGCACAGTACAAGTTTTCCGAGGCCTAGCTCGCAGTGACGAAATTTGGAATGGATTGACTACATTCCTTTACAAGTAGCAATGGATTACTGTCCAATTGCAAAGAAATGATGTTCTAAATTATGTCAACTGCCAAGATTGCAGCAGGAAGACGGACAAATTGATAAGACATATAGTATAGATTGTGCAGGAAAAACGTTCGAACTAATTCAATCCGTTCGTCACATGTGCTTTGGACTCCTTCAACTAGCACTTGGTCAAGCTACCTTGCTACGAGTAATCTTTCCCAGACACTATAGTCACTATGCGTTGAAACATGTTCCAGACACTACCAGTCTATCTCAGAGCCCAATGTAGCACTATGTAGCACTATCAACCAGAGGGAACCATTGACCATTTTTAATCTAATACATGGTTGACTGTATGGATGCGTTCCAAATACCCCAAGACAGCCTGCGACAGAAAGTTGCAGTCTGAAGTGACCACAACTTTGTGCTGTACATATCCAAAGCATTGCCGTTCCTACAGGGATCAGGCTGCTCGAGGAAAAGCAAAGACTGCCTTGTTCGTTGTCCTTGGTTTGGGCACAGCTCTTTCGAAACAGTTGCAATTCTCATGATCATGAGCTGCCAGTTTGTCATGAGTTCATGTTCATGTGTCTGACATGTCGCGACCTGACACACTTTGAAATTGAGTATAATGATTTTCTCCTAGGTTCCTGTAGTCTTTGATTCTCAAAGAGTATGAAAATAATGAAGATGGACTGGATGCTTTGCCGCAGCTTTGCCACAGCAACAAATAGTTTTCGCTGATTCTCGCCATCCCGCATTTGAAGGTCAAGGCAGAAAGTTGTTCAAGTATACCCGAATATATATATATAATATACCCAAAGAATCTGATCAAAATCCCAACGCTTCAATGTTTGTAGAACCATCTAGAGCCCCATTGTAGTTTTCATCATGTCCCGCAGTCCTTTTTATGTTTGATTTCACGTTGGATTCAAAGATCTCTATGCATTGGACTTATAAAGAAGAAACATCTGTCAACTTTGTCAAGTCTTTGTTCCTCTCTTTGCCATGAGCCTGATGGTGGCTCAGACCTCAGTCAACATCCTGGGCGTATGCAAGGACATGGCACATTTGGCGTGTTTGCGAAGGTCCCATCGCAAGTGCCTAGACTCCTAGACATGACCATGGGGATTGTTGGACATTGTTGGACATTGTTGGACCAAGTGTTGCCATCGCACTGCGGTCCAAAAAGCGGAGACCCTGGGCTGCCATAGCCATTGAATGCGATTGACCTGCATCTCATGAGCCCATAAGCAGAGCAGAATTCCACAGCAAGTCGTTATTCAAGCAAGGCAGTGAGTGTGCGATATGTATATATAATTGTATATATATTATATGTTTCTTTATATTAAATCAAGGGTTTTTGCAAAGGTTCATGCCTGTAGTTGTTGTTGTGTTGGAGTGTTCCTGATGTTTTTCCTTAGCGGAGGAAGACTTGAGATGGGAACTTTCCTCTTTCCTTGGTGCAGAGGAGGTTGGAGTCTGGGCGTCACTGCGACTACTAGTCCTGCGGAAATTGATGCTAGTTCTGCTAGTTGCCCGTATAGAAATTATTTCCTTTTGTGGAAATTTCAGAGTTTCTCTTGTGACTTTGTGCAGTTTGTATGCAGTCCTGTGCAGTTTGTGTTTAGGCTGTTTAGGTATGTTTAGGGCATAATATACATTCATATACAACATATTATATATACATGTACTGTATACTCTCTCTCTCTCTATATATATATATATATCATATCGGATTGATATGATGATATGATGTGATTTTTCTGTCAGGCTGAAGTCCTAAAGCACTTCTCCCAGCTAGAGTTGGAAATGCTCTTGTCCGAGCTTGGAGAGGACTCTGGCCGACGAATGTGCGGAGATCTCCTGACTGATCTGTCCGTACCAATCCGTACCATGTTTCTCATTGTATGAACATCGTGAGTCCTGCAACATCAAAGGACAAGGTGATCGAGTTTCTGCTTTTGAGAAGTTGTCATCTAATCTTTGTGATAAACGCGCTCTCCAGTGCTCGAGATCATGGTCATCATGGTGACTACTTATGCTTAAGAGGAGCTCACGCCAAGCTTAATATGGAAGTGGTTCGGCACCAAGATCTTCTGCAGCGTCTAAGGGTTCAATCTACTTCGACACTCATCCAGGATAATCTTTTTCTGCTGTAAAAGAAATGTATACAATTATATACGTATGTACACATAATTCATATTATATATATATACAGATTGGGGTTTAAGGTCTAGCAGTTAATTGTCCATGTAATTGTCTGTCCAAGACACCAAGCACACGAAGGAGAGGCTGGCAAGCTTCAATTGCTTGGCGCATACTCAGCTAGAAAACACAATGCGCATGTATTTGACACCGGTGAGGACAATCGGGAACATCTCTCTATTTCAGACTGTGAAAGCAGTCAGAGCATCAAAATTTATTTTTTCTTTGTCGTTTTTCACCAAAGAACCTTGAAGCCATTTTCCAGCATTCTCATGCATTCTGATGCATTCTGTACCTTGGTGATTTGCACTGCGTTTGTCTTTTCAATCTTTTCATCTTTGACAAAACTTGCTTTGTGGGTTGTGGATGTGGATCGCAATGTGAGGTCGAAGCTACAGGCACCAGTGGCCACGGAGCCGTTGCAACTTGGCAGACACTGAGACAGTGCGGTTTACTTCGCTTGTATTTTGCTTGTTTTCCTTTATGTTTTCCTGTATGTTTTCCTGTATGCTTTCCTTTATGTTTTCCTTTATGTTTTCCTTTATGTTTTCCTTTATGTTTTCCTTTATGTTTTCCTTTATGTTTTCCTTTATGTTTTCCTTTATGTT